AAGAAATGTACTGGCAGTGTCTGAAGTTCCTATTTCAGAAAAGCCAAGAATTTGAGTACAGGATCACTTTCCATCTGGCTAATAGATCAGGACCCATTGTATACATTGGCTGAAACAAAACAAAGCAAAACAAGACAATACAAGACAAAACAAACAACCAAACCTACCTACCAACTAACAGCACCTGCAGTCTTGGCTTGTGAGAAGCAGAGCAAGTTGTGACTGGCCATGTCCATGGCACTAGATGACTTCATTATTCTCATAACTTCTCATTTTGGAAGTCAAGATTTTGGAGCACAAGTGAGATGACCCAGGGAGTCCATCTCTTGGTGGTACTATTGCTTGTGTGTCTATAGGGCAGATTTGATGAGAAATTTGGAGGACACTTACGACAGTGGATTTTAGACAATACTCCTGCCAGGAAATGGTATGTGATGTCACAGAAGCACTGAGTAACTTTCAGGAGCATACACTGTATGCATGCATAGTGGTACACTGTACCGTGAGATTTCAGGGACAAGAGGCCACATCTAGGACACTGTTCTCTTCAGATCATTTCGCCATTATAGGTGTTATTTTTGCCTTAGTGTCTGCTTTAATTTTTTGTTCAAGGACTTGCTCTGTGGTCCATCTGTTGTACCTTCCTGCCTTCCTTTTTCAAACCTCCAAGTGGTTAAGCATCAGGTATGTGCTACCACTCCAAGCACCCTCTGCATTTTGTTCTCTTTATGTTTTGGTGGTCTCCTACATATACATTTACCATCTATTACCTTTTCTCATATGCCGTTCTTGCCTGTTCTGTGAGGCATGTTTTCTTATCCAGTCCCTCTGTGGCTATGCCATTAGAGAAAAAGGCACCTCCTTTTCCAACCATGATTGACAGTCATTAGATGCTTGGGAAGGTCTTAGGCATCATGGGTACCTCATCCATTCATGGCAGAAAGTTAGAGGGTACAATTCTTAGCTGGTATCCAAGGTCTACATATATGCTGTGTGTTCTTGGCATCAGGAGTTGAAATATTCATCATCCCTAGTGATACCTCAATAGTCCAAAGTATCAAGCATTCCTGGTGAACCTGGTGTCAAAATCATATGTAAACTCACACTGTCTTCTGGCCCCCATGGGCACCTGCACCTATGTGCACATACTTGCATGCACACGCACACATGCGCACTATCAAAAATCCAACTAGTCATTAAAAAAATCACAGGCCTTTTGTACAGTACTGGATACCAGGTAATGATAATAAATAATGATAACAAATCACTGGTCTGTGAGTTTAGTGCACTGGACTTATGATCATTAGTGTGTATCTCTTCTACTGTAAAAAACCAAATTCATCATGAAGTAGTGGCCACTTACACTTGCAGCAGCCTCAACATTTGCTTAGCTGACTCTGGTTTGCAACGGGAAGCCACACTGAGTATGTGAAATGTAGCATCTAGGCCTGATGCATCAGTACTGTTACAGCACATTTCTGAGAATGTTTCCTGGTAACCAAGTGACTCATGCCTATATCAAAACCTCATGCTGAACATCATCAACATTTTAAAAATCTGTCAATCAAACAATTCAAATGAACTGGAAAATTATAATGGCTTCAGAAATGTGTAGCTGGGTAAATAAATTGATGTGTGACCCTGGACTGAACTTTTTGTTTTATAAGTCATTATAGTGACCATTGGTGACAGTGGATTAGGTCCGAGGATTCCAAGGTAGCAATTCTTGTGCATTTATTTCCTGATTTTGAAGGCTGTGCAGTGACTTGTGGATAAGAACTTCCTTGTCAGAAGTCATACACTAACAATTTCATGGGAGGCTGTGAGTGTGACTCAGTGGTTGGAAGCCCTGGCTCCATCCCTAGCATGGTGAAGAAGGTTCGGGTGTGGTGAAACCTGATGTCTGAAAAGCTCTCCAGCCCTTCTGTTCTTGGCACTTTCCAAGCAAGTTTGATGTTCTAGCAGCAGAGAAAGAAAGCAAAAGCAGAATTCCCCAAAGAGGCTCTCTGTTCATTAGGGAAGTTAAGAAGCACCTTGGTGGAGATGCTGCAGCCAGCACCAAGCCCTTTCTCTCCCTGGGAACAAGGCTATGAGAGGCCACTTATGTCACAGGAAGTACCCCACCCCAACCGAGTAGGAAGTGGTGCAGCCTGGGAATGGGTAATAGCCGGCAGTGTCTGCTTCAGTCTGAAATCTGTATCTGTGATCTTGATCATCAGGAACACAGTGCCATTAGCAAAGTGAATCACACCAGACACTGGACTATTTGCACTTTCCATTCCTTGCCAGACCTTGTACAGAGAGTGAGGGAAACCGTGATGGTGAGATTATTGTAAGGAGGATCATGGCTCATTCCACATTGCAAACATCTATCAAAATGTCACATTTTGTTCCCCATAAAAATGCACAATGACTATTTTTTCATTAAGAATAAAATAAGAAAGAAAGAAGTTTGTAAATGGAGCTTTCACCAACAAATAATTGCAGTATTATAAGAGTGCTGGAATGCTGTTAGCCTGGGGCTTAATGAGTACTTAGACCAAGGAGCCTAGAGAATGTAAGTGATGAAGTTGGCAGCCACTTGCTCTGCTGATTCAGAGATGACACCATTCAACAAGTGACATTGGACATTGAAAGATGTGTTGTCCTTCTGATGCTGGTACAGCCACTCAATTCCAGGTCCTGTGGTGCTATATTGTTTATGATCTAATAAAGCTTGCCTAGAGATCAAAATGCTAAGCTAGCCACAGCCATAGAAGCCAGGCAGTGGTGGTACACACCTTTAGTCCCAGCAGCCACAATAGTTCGCCATAGAGCTGGGTGGTTATGGTGCATGCCTTTAATACCAGCACTAGAGGCCTATATAAGATATGAGCAGGGTCTCAGAGCTGGCATTCAGTCTTGGGCAATTAGTCTGCAGCCAAGTTAAGGACAGAATTTCCCTAGCATTGGTAGATGTAATAACTCTCTGGTGGCTTGGCTGCTTTACTTTTCTGATCTTCAGCTTGAACCCCAATATTTGTTTCTGAGTTTTTATTATTAGTGCTACAAGGTCCTCCTGGAAGAGGCAGCAATTAAGTATAATTAAGAAACTTGATTGCAAGACAAAGAAATGTCAACTTCTATGTGAGAATCAGGGAGCTCCTTATTGTTCTTGAATAAGGGTGCACAGGGGAAGGGTGTGTGTGTGTGTGTGTGTGTGTGTGTGTGTGTGTGTGTGTGTGTGTGGTAGTAGCTTGTCTAGAAGCAGTGTAGAGATACTAAGGTCCTGTCTGGGAGATCATGAAAAAGCATTGTCTGACTGCTAGAATATGTGCCAGGCAGAATATCAGATGGGAAAGGATGATGAAATGGCCCTGGACTGAGTGGCCCACTGGAGGGCGATGGGAGTCCCTAACAGAGAACTCAAGACACTCCAAATGCAGTGGCAGGGCTATTGATGAGCAGGAGGACCAGGGGCATGCTCCAGGAAGGCATACCTGGTGGCCATCCAGTAGGCAGAGGCAATCTAATCCTGCTGGAGTTTCAACAGGACAGATCATATATCTGTCTGTCTGTGCTTCATATTCATCCCTGGATCTCTAACAACAGAAAATTGGGCATCCAATAAATGGACAAAGCTTCTTCCACAGGGCCTTTGTACATATTTGTGCATGCATCCTTAACCCTTGATCCTCCCCTCTTCGTCACATCAGGGTCTCTCTCGCCAGGTCAGATATCAGCGTCTCAGGGGCACTTTTTAAAAAACAATTCTGACTAGGTGCAGTCTCTTTTTTGTGACTCTTCCTTTTACAGCACCTACCGTAACTCTAGTTTCATACTCACCTGAAGATATGTTTACCTGAACCTGGTCTCCATAGTCTGTAAAACTCACGGAAGAAGTGACCATTGTTTTGGGGGAAGAGGTATCCTTGCACACAGCATAAGAACTGAAAACCATAGTGTGTTTCAAACATTTGTAGGCTGGCTGGCTGGCTGGCTGACTGAATAGATGGCTGACTGGATAGGCAGACAGATGAGTACACTCATAGACAGACATGTGACTACACTACTGGTACTATGGGGAAGTGCCCAGGAAATGAATGATGCCCCAGGAGCATCTTGTAGAGCATACAAACTTTCAATAGATAACAGACTGTACCTTCAGGTATCCAAGAGGGAGCAGAAGTATGGGGTAGTGGGTGGGGTTTGTACCTATGTAAGAGAAACAGTACTGCAAAGAGAAAAAGAAAGAGTACTGAACAGGAGAAAAAGTTCGGAGGCTAGAGACAGATGGGCCAGGTTTTGGAAGGTTTCAGATGCTAGAGTTGAAGTCTGGTTCCTAACTTGGCAGGCACTGGGGAGCTGTGGGAGTTGATTGAGGGCTAAAAGGTGCTTAGAGCTTGTATTTGAGACAGCCCAATAGTGGGCAAACCGAGGGGGGTGGGAGAGATGTGCCGGAGGCTGATTCCTGCCAGTGTAGGAGACATCACAACATTTTTGTCAGACTTGTTCAGCACATAAATGGGGCCTGGGGTAGGGTCAGGGCAACAGATGTGAAATTTTAAGAAGAGTACTGATGACTAGAACTTGCGCTCCTGGGACCAGTGTCTTTTTCATCCTTGCATATCTGGTGGAAAAAGAAACAGTTACTTAGAAATTGTGTGAAGGAAATAAATTTGAGGACTGAAAATACTCAGATCATAAAAGGGAGATAAAATCATGCACCCTCCAAATTTTATATTTGGCTTATAAAATGTTCACTTGGCAACATGTAAAAATTGAGAGATTTCTCATAAAAATGTCATAGTTTGGAAGATTTATGTTTCCGGGCACCGCGTCTCACCCTTTGGTTGATCATAGGTACCCTGGGCAACTCCCAGAACTGCCAGGTCTTGCTCCCAGGCAAGCTCACTTATGACCTGCCTAGATGCTAAGGACAGCTGGGTTGGGCCTTTGGCTCCAAGAAGATCATCAGCTCCAATAACGTGCATGCCTGAAAGGAATGTGAGTGTTCTACAAGCAATTCTTGTCTCTCTCTTTGTCTTTCAGACTATTAAACATGGCTTCCAGGGGATTGGAATTTCCTCCCAGGAATCTTACCCTGGGAGAAGGAAAAGGCTGAATGAAGCTTGATGCCAGCCAGAGAGGGAATCTGTCACCAGTCAAGATTTCACACGATGCGGACAAGATGGCTTGACCCATGGCAGAGTCAGTGATGATGCAACAATGGGTGGTGCCAAGACTGCTTAGTTATGCACACTTATATCCTATTTAAACCCAAGCCTCTTGTAAGTACCCCAAAGATGGATTTTTGTGGGGGGTGGGTTGCCAGATCTCATCAAGTTAAACAAATTTCCTTTTTATGTTTTCCACTATTAATTTGGCTCTTATAATTGGCTTATTGAGGATGGATGGCTGAGACTGACTTATTTGGGCTGCCAAGGGCACAGGCTCCAATCCTTAATTCTAGTAACATTTCTGCTTTTATGGTATTATGTGTTTCTATCAGATATCTGAGAGCATGGGGAGAGCAATGGCAGAAAGGAAGCAGGAGTCTATTGAAGTAACTTATTAGCATTTACTCATCTCCTGGCAGTACCAGCTGAGGGTCTTGGATATAACCACCTCTTGCAGAATCAGTGTCATGGGGTAAATAATTAGACAAAGGTATGAGTGTGAAATTAATAAACCTTTTATTGATATGTTTATCATGCGAGCATATTTACTGAAGATTCCATTTGAAAAAGAGACAAACAAATGAGAGTTGAGATCCCATCCTGCCCCCTGGAGGGATCCCCTGTCCATGGGGGGAGAAAGCACAGCCTACAGCTACTTGATTGGATCCCTCAGAAATGCACTCTGGGAAATTTCTGCTAGAGCTCCCTTGCAGGATACCAGTGTGTCTTTAGTTAGTTGCAGTTGGGAAACAATAAATTCATTTGAAGACTTCCTAGAATACCTCTGGTTTAAAAGCTACTGACCCTCAAGGATCTACCACCACTCAACCTAGAATATACGTTTTTTAGTTGGCTGTTGCATCTGCCCCAGAGGATGGCTTCAGTCTCCTGGTGGGATCCAATAAACTCTGGCTGTGGGTGGGCAGCCCTTCAGGAGCGTTTGGTCTTGCTACAAGTGGGGCACAGAAGCTGACCCTTGGTGACGATGTATGCTCGGCCACTCAGCAGCTGTTCACAGCCCTCACAAATGAAGTGCTTCCTATGCCAGGCCAGGTCTTCCACGCGCTGGTAGTCTTCTGAGAAGATGATCTAGGAAGAAAGACAGAGGAAGGCATGACTGAGGTTCTGCTCATAATTAGAGGCAGTGTGTAGAGGATAAATTATGGGATGGTAGCTTATCCCTTCCTGTTTGTGTTGTGACCTTTAAATGCCTCTACAAAGCATTCTGACATAATCTGAGGGTCATGGTTGTGTCTCGGCTTTTCAGACATGAAAAAGAAAATACTCTGCTACAGGCAGGTTTTTATTTATCTGTCTGTGAAACTTTTTGGGCATGTCCAGAGACCAGTTATTTTTGAGTTGGGATTACATAACTTCAGTGACCCTGGAAGACAGTTAACATTGGAGGAGCAGACAGTGGCCATTTTCTAAGAACAAGAAACCAAGGGGTAGTCTGTTGGATCTAGAATAAAGAGACATCCTAGACTCATTTCAGGAGCTGAGGAAAGACAGAATGGAAACTGGTCCAATGGGCCTTCTGATTTTGGAGCACAGTAGGACACGAGTGTGTGTTGTCATTTGCTAGCCTTGTGACCTGGTGAATTATATCACCTCTCTGTCCTTCCAGTTACACATAGCCCGGCTTTTAAAGCAAATGCTGATGTCTAGGCTTTAAACTTGACTCTTCATACTTGCAGGGCAAACAGTTTACTAGCTGAGCTATCCGGGTGATCCTCCTACATCCAACCTCCAGAGTTCTGGGGTTGTAAGCATGTGTCACTATTCTTAGTTCAGGCACATTTTGTAGATGAGAAAATAGAGGCTGGGAGTACCTAGTGAAGCCTAGCTCAGTTTTCTTAGGTGAAGAATACACCATCAGCAGAGCCACACCTACTGGCCTTGGGGTTGCACTATCTAGCACAGCCACACCCACTTGCTCTCATCAGCCTACTGATTCTCACCTCATCACAGCCTGAGCACCGGGGTCTCAAGCTCTCACAGTAGTGGCGGCCACACCAGGGTGCACCATCCTTCCAGAAGTAGATGAGGTCCACCAGTGGCTCTGAGCACTTGATACACACAAAACATGTGGGGTGCCACTGCTTGCTGTAGCCAGCCCTATCAGCATAGACCACGGGGCTGTCAGCAGGGGCCACTCCCTTGCAGAGCTCACAGACCTGGAAAGGATATGAGAAAGAGGGACATGTGATGTAGGTGAGTCCCAGTTCCACCTTCTCTATACTTCCTGTGTGGCTTTGCACAAGTTAAAAGACTTATCTGCTCTTTGGTTTTGCCATTTACAAAGTGGAATAAGTTTATGGTCTATCTTTTGAGGACTAAATAATGTGACTTATCGATCCTTATGAGTCTCAGTTTGATTAACCTCAACACCCTTCGTGTCTTTGTAGCTATTCAGATTTCCACAAAGCTTCTGATATGTGAAACAGTAATTGATAGTCACCTTAAGAAAAATTAAAACAACATTTAAACTACTTACTCCCTCATAATGATAGGAATGAACTTATATGATGTGTTAGCATATGTGTTTTATGCCTGAAAACTACTGTATTTTCTAAAACAAAAGAAATCGGTGAGAGGAACAATTGAATATGTTCTATTTCAAATTATACAGTTTGAAAATCTTTTAAATAACTCCCTTAAGACGGGTGGATTCTCTTAACTACTCATATGTCTGTATTTTGGTTGAAATATGTAGAGGAACTCTGGCCTCACTCTGATAAGCTGGACTAGGAAGGGAGGAGTATTTTAATAGTCATCCAAGAAAACAGGATGTGCGTCTTTGACTCTACATCAAAATATAACAAGTGGATGTTTCTCAGAAGTTAGTTATGGGCCTGAGGTGGCTCAGTGGGTAAGGGTGCTTGCTGCCAAGTCTAATGACCTGAGTTTGACCCTGTGATCCACCCCGTGGAAGGAAAGAACTCATTCTAGCAAATTGTCCTCTGACTTCCACATATGTGCTGAAAAAATATCTTCAGAAAATGTCACCACATACAGTATGAGGTTACAGGAACCCTTCTTTTGCTCAACTTTAAATAGATTTCTTGCTCTGCATTGTCTTCTGTCTATTCTTGAATACTTTGAGATTTACAGAAAAAAACAGTGAATTCCCACATACCATATTCTGTTTTCTTTGCTTTTAATTGCTTGTATTAACTAGGTGCCTTTGCCAGTGACTAGTAGTAACAGGTCATTGGGAAAGCTTTTTCAGGTACCCTCAGATTATCATTTGACCTCTTTCCTCTATTCTGGTACACACTTAGGACCTACATTTAGTCTTCTGCTTTTGAAGGCTCCCCTTTTGTAGAAGGGATTGACAGTTTCTTAACATGTTTCTGTTTGTGGGACCTTGATAATCTGGGGGAAGTCATGATCACATTTGGTAAGATGTATGCCAGTTGGAATATGCCTGATGTCACCGTCAGGGGGGCTAACACTTAGGTGAGGACCCCAGAGGCCAACCTGCTCTTGTCACCTGCTACCAGGGGCATATGCTGTCACTATGCCTCCTAAGGAGGTGTGTTGACCTTGGCTGGACAAGGATGCTGATCTTGATCTTCTGGCTGAGATGCGGTTGTCACATTTCTCCACAGGGAAGATTTCTTCCTCTTTACACTGTCTTCTTTGCAAGAAGTTTACTTCTTGTTTCTCATTAAAGAGCCTTCTACTTTCTCAGGGTTCAAGTAACTACATATACTATGTAGAATCATACTAAACCTTGACCTCGAAGGTTCCCCTAAAGGTACTTTGAGAACCATGTATCCAACCTATTCATCCATCTACCCATTCATCTATTTACCCACCCACCAAACCACCCACCCATCCATCCATCCATCCACCCACAAATCTATCCACCCACCTACCTATCTAGCCATCTATTAATCTACCCATCTATCTAGCCATCCACCCATTCATCCTTCCATACCTACCTCTCTTCCTTCCATATTTATAAACTTATGTTTTTCATTCTCTCAGGAATTTGACAGTCTTACAACATAAACACCTTGAGCCATTTTAAATCCTCTTCTGCTTCTCAAAGACCCAGAATGATGATGGCTCTCATGTCCTTAGGGCTTGTCTGTACCCTACAGTGTGCTTGAGGTAGTGTACACATTATGAATAAACTCACAAGTACCTGCCAGTTGTTTCTGTGTTATGAAAACAATTGTCTTCCCTTCTAGAGACAGCCATGCCTCTGAGAGACTTGGTGACATGCTCAGTGATGCACAAGACAAAGCTGGAATGAGAACCTGGCCAGGCTCCTCCACACCAGCTCTCTGGACTACATGCTATGCCTTTTATAGCTGGGGTCAGCAAACAACTGCCTGGGACTGTTCCAGTTTAGCAAATATTATATCCTCAAAAAGAACTCCATTTTCTTTATTATCAGACTAGATTTTTAAAAAGAACCATGTTTAAGGACTACATTTTCAATTGCATGAATAAAAATGTTATGGGAATTTGTTTTCTCTCTTGTTATGTGAAATGCTCACAGGCTGCTATCCATTTTGGCTGTTGGCTCAGGTTACCAGAAATGTTTACCATCTGACCCTCTAATGTTTGCTGTCTTTGGTCTTTTCTTTGAATGCAAATTTTAACTTACTAGGTTCTGTTAGCCCACCCCCAAATATTTACATTTTGCCATGTTGGGTGGAGAGGTGTATGTTAAAAGTCTACTATCGGGACTGAAGTAAGAATGCTTACTGCTCTTTCAGAGGACCCAAGCATGGCTCCTAGCATCCAGGACAGTTGGCTCACAACTACCAGTAACTCCAGCTCCAGCCCTCTTCTGGCCTCTGCAGGCATGCACACACACACACACACATATATGTAAAGTTAAAAAATTACAAGACTACTATGATTTGGAGTCAGAATATTCCAGACAGGCCCTGTGTTAATGATTTGGTAGCATTAGTGACGAGAAGTAGGACCTGATAAGAGGTCGTAGGGATGTGGCCTTGAAGGGAATGGTGGGATGCTCATCTCTTAATCCCTTTGCTCTCTGGTCACCATGTGGTGAGCAGTTTTGTTCCACTACACAGTCACCATGATTTCATCGCCTTACTATACGCCCAAGGTGACAAAGGCAACTCACCATAAGGAGAAACCTAGGAAATTGTGATCTTAATGAACCTTTTCCCCTTATTGATTCTCTCAAATATTGCTACAGTAACAGAAAGCTGAGTAGCAGGAACAATATTCCTATCAACTCTTTTATCAATATACTTAATATACTCTTACACACTGAAGAGGAAATAAAAAGTAAAATGATCACAATTAGGACAAGGAGAGGCTCCATGTAACATAGCTTCCTGGAGCACAGTAGACACTGAGTTAATATCTGGACACGGAAGGCATTTCGATATCTGTATGGATCTGAACTAGACCCTCACTGCCTGGTAATGGACTTTAAGACATTCTAGTTTTCCAGATTCACTTTGCCCCCTTGAATAAAAAGGGGGAACCCCTCAGTTAACTGAAAACTCTGTGCTTCTTCCCATGCCTGGGTACCACAACCTGTGACTCAGCAGAGGGTCAAAAGCATACGTGACAGTAAGCTGCATTCTTACACACTGCCTGCTTTCTCACTTGGGCATTGTAAACTATGAGGACAGGGCTGCTGGAACACACGGTACATCTTCTGTCTGGCTTCTAAGTTTTGTAGAATGAAATTTCCAGTCCTTTCCTCCCACACAGAAGGCACTGAAGGGACTTACTGTTGGCCAACCACACCCCAGATTCCCAGATGTTGCTTAAGATGGAAGCAGAGGACAGGGGTAAAGAAATGGCCTAGGGGTGCTGGCAAGCACCTCGGTGACACATGGAAGGGAGCCGGGGATATGAGCTTTTGAGAAAGGCTGTCTGAGTGGGTGCTCAAAGGTAACCCTGGAGTCACATGATGGGCTGAGACTTTATTCCAGAGGCAATAGGGAACCATTGCAGGTTCTGGAGGCCAGAAGTGTGGGGGGTGTGATTTGAGCTGTGGGGTAATAACCAGGGCAGGGAGGAGGAAGGAAAAGAGTACTTTCACAGAACTTGGTGTCAGCCTGCCCATCTGTCTAAGAGTGTTTTTCAGGTCCTTGCTCTAGGAACATGCTTTCCCCCATGGTTCTTTGGGTGACAGTTAGTACCCTTCACCAGCTCCTTTTAGCAAACAATGTCATTGTCAGTTTATAAAAACACATAATGTAATGAGCCCCTTCAACATGTCTCAGTACCGTTTGCTCTTTTGCTCTGTGTGGCCTCCTCCTCCTCACCTCTTCCTCCTCCTCCTCCTCTTGTCGTCTTGGTCATCTCAAGGGATGAGGACTCTGGGGTTGTCCTGGGTCTGTCAGCCTCATGGGCTCTCAGCCACCAGGAACAGGTTGGCAATGAATGATCAGACCCTACTCCCACCTTGGTGCTGTGATTCTGGCCTCTCCTCATCTACCCCCATTCTTGGTGAAGCTCCCAGCTTCTCAGCTGTACAGGGTGGCAGGGAGCCAAGCCCTGGAGTCAGACTGCTCGCATGATTGCTGTGTGACCTCCGGCAAGCTAACTTCTTTATGTTTAGATATTGTCGTCTGTCAAATGGGCACTCTTAGCAGTAGCAGCATTTTGGGGTTATTGGGCGAGCTCAGTGGATTTACTGGGGAGTTTGAAGGGCTCATTTGTTATCCAGACCTCTTCCCTCGTAGGATGGAAAGCTGAGGCTCAGAGGGGTTAAATCACCGCATAAGTTGACCATATCATGCTGAGGTCAGGATTGGAGCTGGCTCTCCAGTCCCATGATGCCATACCATGTGGACTCGCCCTGGGCATTCCTCCCATGCTTTGCATTTCCTGTGTCCCTTCTTTCCAGCTGAGCAAGGTCAGAACATCAGTTGGCTTCCACCAGTCTGACTGCCTTAGGCCTGGGCTTGTGGCCCCTGCTCTTTTTCTCTAATCCTGCCTGCTTGGAGACCCTGTTCTCAGGTTTACCCTGCTTCTGGTGCCCTGGAGGGCTTGTGGAAGGGTCCTCCTTCATTTCCTTTCCATAGAGCATTTGCTACAGCAGGCCAAGAATTTGCAAGGTCTAAGGAGATATGGGTACTGGTGGAGGCTGCACTCTGAGAAACCACCTTGGAATGCTAATACTTGAGTGAGCTTTGTGTGAAGGCCTCCCTGTGGCTTGGGGACTACAAGCTAATTTGAATTCATAGAGAGTTTACATTTTAACACTTCCCAAGGAAGCCCAAGTGGCCACTCTTGGACTTTTTGGTAAACGAGGTGGTACAGCAGGCAGAATTTCCTTGGGACCAGATAAAAGGCGTTTAGGAAGTCATTTGTCTTGAGCACCTCAGCTATATTTTACTCCTGTTCCCAAGTGCCCAAATTCAAGCAGGGCGTTGGTGGCACACACCTTTAATCCCAGCACTAGGGAGGCAGAGGCAGGCGGATCTCTGTGAGTTCAAGGCCAGCTTGGTCTACAAAGCAAGTTCCAGGACAGCCTCCAAAACAATACAGAGAAACCCAGTCTTGAAAAACCAAAAAAACAAACAAATAAACAAACCAAAAACCAAAACCAAAACCAAAAATAACAACAACAACAACAAAAAAAAACAAGTACCCAAATTCAGTTTGCTCATGAAGATGTTCCCAGTAGCTGCCAGAAAACCTTGTCTGCACAGCACTTTCCCCTGGGACAGGGATACGGGACAGAACCTTTGAGAGGTGGAATAATGAATAGGAGGCTTTTGTCCATGCCCACGACTCTCTATGACTCTCTCACATATTCTAAGGTGCTTAATTAAATAGTCAAAAGCAAGGGTTCATGTTTATAATCCCAGCACCCAGGAGACTGAGGCAGGAGAATCTCCACAACAAGCGGGAGACTAGCCAGGACAGCAGAACAAGCAAACAAACAAATAAATAAATAAACAAAAACGCAATTAGTCAAAATGAGCAATTTTGAATATTTTGTGCTTGAACCTAGGCAGTGTTTAAATATCTGATTTGAGAAAGACAAGGATGATCAAACCTTGGTAGCTGAGTCTCTGTGGGGCCATGGGCTCCCTGCTTTGAGGTGTGCTCAGATCCAACTGGCATTGTCTTAGATAACTCTTCCAATCAGCATGACATCCCTTTCCCTGAGGAATCATGTTCCAGTTTAATGAAACAGAATGTGCAGAGTACCACGGTATGACACAAAGCAGGAGGATGGCCCTCTGCTTATGACAGGCTTAGGTCATCAGAAGTGGAAAATATAAGTTGCCATGTACCTAGCACTGCCAATTGTCAGCCTTCTGACTCAACAGCATTGTTCAGCAGAGTCTTGATGTTCATTCTTACAATGGAGCGGCTGACCAGCAGCTGTGTCTACTGCAGTGCCCATGCCATGAAAGAGAACAGTACCCTTGGCTCATCTGGGAAAATATCAAACTTCAATACTCAGTGTCTCCCAAATCTCTACCCCGTTTTTTTTCTGACAATGTAAATTTGAGCAATCTTAAGCAGAGCTGTGATAAGTTAGGGATCATGTGTGTAGTTTTTCCTAGACTCTTGTTTCTAAAGACACACCCCTGGGGAACTCTTGAGAAGAAAGAAGCTACAGCATCCAGAAGCTTCTATACCAAGGTGATCATCACATGGAGAGAGAAGAGGAGGAGTCCCCAAGAGACCCTGCCCAACCAACCCAGCTCTGTGTTTTCCCCAGACCAGTCCCCAGACCCCAGCCCATGTAAAGCTGAGTGGCTACAGCCAAGATGCCCCTATGGAGCTTTGATCAAATGGCTGATCTAAGAACAAAAGGAACTTCATTGACATAAGCCACTTGGCCAGGATGGCTTGCTCCACAGCATAATAAAAGAACTACATTGAACAGGGACATATGGGGTCATGTGGTTGTAACACAACACAAAGTATTTCAGGTCATAGCAGGTTCAGGACAGTGGTTAGGCCAATGGCCATGTAGCTATAGAACTATATCTAAAAACCAAGGTTCAGAGGGACTCAAGGACACAGAAAGAGCTCTGTAGCTACAATACTCTCTGCCTTGGGCTTGCCAGAAGCACATCCCAATCACGTTGTTTTTCTCCTGGAAGGCTCTTATCCGAAGGCCTACCCAGTCTAAATCCAGAGTGTCTCGTGAAAATCTCACCATTGCACTCCAGTAAATATTAACACAAGGACATGAATCCAGGCACTGGCTTCACTCCCATGCAAACACTCAACAACTTATTTATAAACAGCATCTCCTATGTCCTCTTATGGTGCTTAGGCCCCAGCTCTGCCTCTTAGCCTTGTGTCCTACAGAAAGTCCCCCACCCCCATTTTCTGGCCTGGAATCATCTCTGCAGGCTTAGCTGTCTTGAGTTCTGTTTTCTTAAACTCTAGTTGTTCTGAGGCCCCAGAGGGCAGATGGAGCACACTGGGGACACAGTAGTTAGGGTCCCAGGCCTGGAATGTGGCCATTACAATGGCTTCATCCTTAGGGAAACAC